AATAAATAAATAAATAAATAAAATATGAAGAATTCAGCAAATTCTTCCCTGAAACAAAAAAAAAAACTTCCCCATCTGCACCCAACAAAGTCAACAGGTACTGCATGGAATCTGTCGCCAGTGATGATATGTCTGTCAGAAAAAAGGTAGTAACCCTAATTCAACACACCTTTGGTTGAATAAGCAGGAATTCAAACCCAGACTTTTAAGAGTTAAGCACTCAAAGCCCTGGGCCTGGATGAACATAGCTGCTAATTTTTGTTTCCCCAGATTCATTTAAAAATAAATCTTAAGTTCTTTTTGATCTGAATAATGAGAACTTGGCAGATTTTGGCATATTCTTTCCAAAATCAATCTGAAATAGAATTCTCACTCATCCTTAAAAACGCTCAAGAAATCCATGATGATTTCTATGAATCTGTCCTGAAGAATTTGCAAAGGAACAGCCTTTCACGAAATCCATGAACTTATTTCAAACTTTCTGCAAGTCTATCCAACTTTGCTTGAACAAAACTGTGGCAGTTGCATAAAAATACAATAATCAGGGGGGGGGCAAATTTTAGATACCCCTGATGACTCTCTGAACACTGATGTTATGGTGACCTAGGAAACATATGCCAAGTGTTCTGCACCTGGCAAAGTTCTGGAAATGTTTTTGGTGCTTTTTGCTGTGCTTTTTCAGTTTGCATTCGTGGACAATGCCTGACAGCCAGCAAAGCAAGCCATGGCTATTATGCGCGATCCTTGCCTCTGTACCCATTTCTCGTCTTCCAACAGCGACTGCTCACGGAGGGATGGAAGCCGTATTGAGGGGTTGCTCAGTGCCTGGAGTCTGTCATGATCAAATAAATGTTCAGCCATACCAGGCAAGCGAGAGCTGCTAAGTCTAAAGCTACATGCCTGAAAAGCAATGAAGGGAGCCTGAAAGCTTTGATAGCATGAGATTTAAAAGGCTAGCAACTTAATTCCAGTGGATAACAGAAAATGCCATGAGTAGCTTTAGCCAGGAAAGGAGGAGAACTTTATCATTTTCAAAGCACGACATGGGAACATTTGCGAGGGTGGATCAGAGGCATCTAAACCCTTGAAGTGTGAATGAGCTTGTTCCCATTGCCTCGGCCAGTCCCCAGAGACCTGAGGCATCAAGGTCTTTCCATCTGCCTTTGCAAGCGGGGGGGGGGGGGGGCAGAGGGGGGAACTGAGCGAGCTCATAAAGGCCCCTGCAGAATTGGGAGCAAAAGCAACACTGGTTATAGAAAATGGGGGAAGGATTGACGTGACCATCACGATAATCCACCATCAGTATTTCAAATACACAATAAGAAGCATTTTATTGCACGAGGCTTTTAATCCATCACTTTACCTAGGCTTTCCTTGGATTTCCCAAGGATTTAAAATTGGCTATTTTGCACATAATTTGTTGTTGGTGGTGGTTTATTTGCATTTCTCCCCCCCCCCACACACATGTTTCATCGCACAACAGTAAGTGGCATGGTGGTTTCATGTCACCATTTCCAAATAATACCACATTTCTGCTGTTGTTTTAAGAGGGTGCTTGGAACTAGAGGCTTCTTTGCTCTGCCAGAGACTCGAGTCTGAATTAGCGAGGAACTGGTGAGGCATCTATTCGCAGCTCTGAACCCGCCACGGTCAGACCTTTCTCACAGGTATCCTGCAGAAAGTGAGTCCAAGCAAGCCCACAAACTGGTAGCACAGCCTTCCTTCTGTGAGCATTGGCGGACTTCCTCTTGGCTCAGCTTGCTTTCTAAGACGGATCCTGCCAGGATTTCATCCCAACCCTATTCCTAACCATTGGACACACGGACCGGGAGTTGGGGGAGTTAAAAGTCCAAAACTTCTGGAGTTTCTGCTTCTGCTCACTCTGGCAGTAGCTTCCCAGATGATGGGATGACTGCTCACTCATGCTGTTCAGGCCCTTTATGACCTCCGGGAATCCTCCTGGGGGCTAAATGTTCGGTCGCCTCCCCATAACCTTCTTGCTACCATTGCACTTTTCATCTTTTTTTACTCAGTTGGAAGAGCCCAGAACAGCTCCCCCACAGATCTGAGGATGAGGTCTTGGGAATGGAAACAGACAGCAAAGAAACAGACCAAAACAAAGATGACCCCTCGCCCCCATAAAACATTGCGAAGAAGAACTCTCCTCCATCATTTGGGATCCCCTTTTCATATGGTGCCCTGAGAGGGGGAAAGAGTGTTCTGATCATTTTAATCACGGCAAGATAGTATTGTTGATCACAACCTCCTCAATGTATGAAGCTTGAAGAAATTGGCCCTCCCCCCACCCCTCTCCCCACACACAAGGAGTGGCTCTCCTTTGTCTTATGCATTAACCACAAAAACCGGGACCTAAAACACATCTCACAAATCTTAGAAGGTTGCTCAAAATCTGAGCAGAGAGCCAAAGTCAGGGGCTTAGAGTATCACAAGCAGCCACACACTGGACTGGAGGTGGGACAGTGGAGGAAGACCAAGCCTACTATTTGGTGTGGAAGCAGCCCCAAATCGCAGCATCTGTCTCTGGGGATTCCTCTGTGTGGAGCACTGTGGGAAACGGAAAAACGGTTCTGCTAATGCACAGAAAGTACCAGCCAAGCTTGGTGGGAAAGGCAGAAAATGCAAAGCCATGTTAGAAAGGCCATATTGGAGCGCCCACCATGTCAGGGTCTGCCCGGGCAGCTTGCTCGAGACATATGTTAAAGTTGCTATGGGGGGAAATTGGGGCTGATCTTTGCAGACGTTTAACTTGGGTTGTATGGAATTGCTTCCCTGGAAACCTCAGTCAGGACTTAGCCAGAGCAGGCAGCCAGGGAACAAACTCTCCCAGGGAGAAAACATGAACTAAGAAGGCCAAGCATGGCCGTGTGTTACGGCTGGGGTTCTGTCTGCAGTGCTGCAAAACCAAAGGGCAGAGATGGTTCTGGCTGTCTGAGGAGACCTGATCCACTTTTATTCTCTGCTACTGAATTACAAAGGACAGGACACCTGCCTGAGCCGAATGGGGAGAATATGATTTACTCAGGAGAAGGACCTTTTGCTTTATATCCAGTGCCAGTAAGTGTGGACTAATGTGTTTAAATGAACGGGTTAATCATGATCTCAGACTTTGTGCTTCACAGTTTTGTCTGTTCAGCTGGAATTCAAGTGGGCTAGTGAGTGTTGCAATTGACCCAAGGAGAACAAGGCTGGGAGGCATCCTCAGCAAGGGTTCCAAAGACTTCTGCTTCGGGCTGGGACACGGCCTGGGCGAGGACTGGCCCTTGGCCTCAGCTTCCAGCTGGTTTTCTGCTCTGACTTCCTTTCCCGGCCCTGGCTTGACCTCCTGGCTCCAACACAGTGGCTGCCTACAGTCAGCTCTGTGGCTGCCAGTGCTGAGTCTCAGGGATAGCCGGGCCTGGTATTAAGAACCCCCAAACCGGCCTGGCCTCTCTCCCTTGCCGCCCCCCTGATCATTTGGTCCCTGCCTGCTTCTGATGGGACTCGGTACTCCTTTGCACTGGAAAGGATCCAGTCCATAAGGACGTGTGCTCACCATGTGCTCACCAATGCATCTATTAGCGGGGAAGGTGGAAAAAACCCATAACGGAAAGCTGCTGCAAGATTGTGCATGTTAGGAGAAAAGGC